CCCCTCGGATCGCGGCGCCTCTGGCTCCCGGCACCTCTCCACGCCAGGCCGGTGGACTCAGAGACGGTGGTTGTGGCCGGAGGGCTGTGGCGGGCGCACAGATCGAGGCGGCGGCGCGGGGGAGCGGAGCGGAGCCGGAGGTGTCTGCGGGAGGCGATGCTGCCGGGCGCGGGCCCCAGCGCAAGGCGAGCGTCGTGACAGGCCGGCGGGTGCTGCGCCGCTCTGGGAGGCCGCTGCGGAGCTCCTGGACCGACCATGGGCTGAGACGGGACATCTGCGAGCAGGTGCAGGGCCCATAAGTCCCAGGGGGGAACGCTCTCTAGCAGGCCCGGGGGGACCCTCAACCCCGTATCCGGCCCTGTGCCCTGTTGACCTTCCCTAAGCTCCTCCCATAGGCCCTGCTGAACCTGCCTCCGAATCTGGCCGGAGCAATCCCAGTGACATCCCCTATCTCTGACTCCCGTGCATACATACGTTCTACACCCTGTAACTCAGCTCAGTAGGCCCAGTGTTTTGAGTCTACTGTCTGCACAGTGGCAGGGAGCGAACTACCGAGCAGCTCTTCAATTTGGTTCTAGGCGAATGGGGATGGGCTGAGGGGAGGAGGACACGAGAGATGGTTATCTTCTCTCTTGCAAGTATATAGTGAAAATGACCCTTTGTTAACTCCACCAGAACATGCCTGGGTGACGCCCTCTCAGATCTTCCTTGTGGCCTTCCTCACCCTCCCCAGTGACACTATGCAACCCCAGCGTGACCTGCGAGGCCCCGGGCTCCTGCTGCTGTCCCTGATCCTGCTCCTCTTTGAGGTGTCCAGAGCTGGCCGTCCGGTGGTTAGCTGTCCAGCTGCCTGTCTGTGTGCCAGCAACATCCTCAGCTGCTCCAAGCAACAGCTGCCCAACGTGCCCCACTCTCTACCCAGCTACACCGCCTTGCTGGACCTCAGCCACAACAACTTGAGCCGCCTGCGGGCTGAGTGGACCCCTACCCGCCTGACCCACCTGCAGTCCCTGCTACTGAGCCACAATCACCTGAACTTCATCTCCTCTGAGGCCTTTACACCCGTCCCCAATCTTCGCTACCTGGATCTCTCCTCTAACCAGCTGCATACACTGGATGAGAACCTGTTCAGTGACCTGCAGGCCCTGGAGGTGTTGCTGCTTTACAACAACCGCATCGTGGAGGTGGACCGCTATGCCTTTGATGACATGGTCCAGCTGCAGAAACTCTACTTGAGCCAGAACCAGATCACCCGCTTCCCTCTGGAGTTGGTCAAGGAAGGAGCCAAGCTTCCCAAACTAACGCTCCTTGATCTCTCCTCCAACAAGCTAAACCATTTACCCTTGCCTGACCTGCAGAAACTGCCTGCGTGGATCAAGAATGGGCTCTACCTGCATAACAACCCCCTTCACTGCGACTGTGAACTCTACCAGCTCTTTTCACACTGGCAGTATCGGCAGCTGAGCTCCGTGATGGACTTTCAGGAGGATCTCTACTGCATGCGCTCCAAGAAACTGCACAATGTCTTCAACCTGAGTTTCCTCAACTGCAGCGAGTACAAGGAGCGTGCCTGGGAGGCCCACTTGGGTGACACCTTGATCATCAAGTGTGACACCAAGCAGCAGGGGATGACCAAGGTGTGGGTGACACCAAGCAATGAACGGGTACTAGATGAGGTAGCCAATGGGACAGTGAGAGTGTCCAAGGATGGCAACCTTCTTTTCAAAGAGGTGCAGGTTGAGGATGGGGGTGTGTATACCTGCTATGCTACAGGAGAAGCTTTCAATGAAACTCTGTCTGTGGAGTTGAAAGTGTATAATTTCACCTTGCACGGACACCATGACACCCTCAATACAGCCTACACCACCCTGGTGGGCTGTATCCTCAGTGTGGTCCTGGTCCTTATATACCTGTACCTGACCCCCTGCCGCTGTTGGTGCCGGGGAGTAGAGAAGCCTTCCAGTCATCAGGGCGACAGCCTCAGCTCTTCTATGCTTAGCACCACGCCCAACCATGATCCTATGGCTGGTGGGGACAAGGATGATGGTTTTGACCGGCGGGTAGCCTTCCTGGAACCTTCTGGACCTGGGCAGGGTCAAAACGGCAAGCTCAAGCCAGGAAACACCCTGCCTGTGCCTGATGTGACAGGCAAAGGCCAGCGGAGGATGTCGGATCCAGAGTCGGTCAGCTCAGTCTTCTCTGATACGCCTATTGTGGTGTGATCAGGATGGGTTGGTGGGGAGATTCTGCCCCAGGAGAGGTTATGCACCCCTGAAGGATATGAGGGGATGGAAGAGAGGGCTGGCTGCCCAAGGGAGTATGTTTACCCCCGGCCTGAAGGGAATTAGTCACAGGTACAATGGCAGGCAAGACTCCAACCAGGGTGTGACTGCCATAATTTTCATAAGTGGATATATTAATCCTCAGGCAAAGGCTACACCCGTACCCAAAGCCCTAGCAATTCTAAATGTGGAGGAGGAGAAGAAAAGTGTCTGAATTGGGTGGGAATGAGGGGAAGGGGTGAGGGAAAGAGCAGATTCCCTAAACTTTTTCAAGATCATCTTTAGCTTCTTAAGAGAAAATCATCTTAAAAAAATATCACTTCCCCCCCTCTTTCTCCACCCACCCACACCTGTGATACTGTGGTAGGGTGGGTGGCCTTCCAGAGGAGCCACATTGGGGAAAAGCTGTAGTATCTTCTTTGGTCAGCAAGTTACATTTGACAGTTGGGGAAATTGAAAATCTTAGGAAAATAAGACAGGAAAGGTGAGGAGACCTCAGTAACACTCCCCAAAGCTGTTGTGTGACTTCTCATGACTGCCTTCTTCCTTCCCAGCTGGCTTTGGGGGCCTTCTTTGCAGGAGCCCTGGCCTGTTGCCTGTCAGATATGGCAGCAAAGTGAGATGTGATAGTTGTTTCTGGTTCTCTGACTCATGGCACAGAGGGGAACAGCATTAACTGAGGGGTCCATGTCCTAGCACAGGGGCCAGCACAAAACTTGCCGATGAGGGGGGTGAACACCAGGTAAGCCATTTCCCTGGTTTGTGAAATCTGTGATTGATTAGCTTTTGACTCCTAGCACATGCATGGCAGACCAGGGTCAGAGGTGCTGAGGGGCAGAACTTTTACAGAGATCTGCCTGGACATGTGATGTAGGGCCACTTCACATCAGTGGGATGAGGAAGAACCAGCCTATATTGTGTAACATCCAGCTGGATCTGATTCTCTCAGTCTCATCAAGCCTAGGCAGGATTCTGATTTTTTCCCCCTAACAGGCTGCTCTGTAAAGAGAGAAAGAGCTCAGGAAAGTCTTGCCCCACTGGGTTAGACTCAACTTGTGGAGGAGACCAGGTATCTGTCTCTTCTATGTTGACAATGCTGCCTTGCTACTCCCTCAGAGACTGTGCCCTTACAGCAAACCTGAATGGAACTTCCTCATCTGAGGACTTGGGCGTTGGGTAGTGGCTTAGATTCTGTCCTCTCCCAAGGTTGCAGATCATCCTATGGCAGAGGCAGTCACTGGTACTAACTTTTCAGAAGGTCACCGAACCCCATCCCTCTCAGCCAGAAGTTTGTGCTGTTGTGATTGTCAGGCCCAAGGAGCTTTGCACAGATGGGCCCAACATTCCATCCAGCAGGACACTTTGGGTATGGAGTTGACATACCTCCCTACATGACATCCCTTTAATATGCTCCCTTTGACTGTACTTCAGGCCCTGGGAAGAGGTTAATCTGAGCTTTAGTAGGGGGTGAGCAGGGCAAAGGTGAAAATGTTCTCTGTTGTTGGTCTTTTTCAGTCTCTCCCCGCACCCTCATGTTCTCTGTCCATTGGAAGGTCTCCAGAGCCTCTAGTTACGACCCGCTCTTTCATTTCTGAGAGGTGTTTTTCACTGAAGGTGAAGCTGTTTGCTAGATGGGCCAGATTCCAGCTGCCTGTTCAGCTTGGGGAAGGGGACTGGAACTTGGCATCTCCTTGCCTGTCCCTAGGATCTGAAGATAGCTATCCACCCTTAGTTAGTGACCTAGATTTGTCAAGAGAAAGGTGCAGCATTTCCCTCAAGTACTTGCATGCTCCTAGGTATGCATGCTTATAGGTATGCATGCACGCAGCACCTTGACTTCCATCAGGACAGTGGTTCTTTAGTCCCCACTAATGTCCACTCACAGAATGGCCTCTTATGTGCACAACTTCATGCACAGCATTTTTTCCCTATAAGAGAGACGGTGACCATGCCAGGCTCCCCAAATACACAGTCTCTTGTACTTTAAATTTCTGAGCTCCCTGAAGCCTTCATCCATGTCTCCATGGCACTGAATCTTTTCTCTGTAAAGGCTGGAGTTAAATCAGGCGATAGTCCCTTACAAGAAGAAGTGCTGAGGAACTAACTGGTTCTTCAACCTCCTCAGAAACCTCCTTAGACTAAAGACAGTATGTACAAGAAATTAAGATAGAACTAGGGACCCAGAAGCAAGCTGGCAGAAGACCCAGCAGCTGTGAGTTTGCTTTTCCTATGTTAACTGCCTGCTAATGTAGGGGCGAGAGGGAAGAGTTATCTGGTTATACTCCAGACTTCTGGGGATTTTGGTCTGGAGATAATAGGAACCAGAACTCCCTTCTCACACTTAATGGGAAACCTGGGAAAGTCCCATTCATGCTGCAGTTTCCCCTCTAGGCACTACTGAAGTTAAGACTCTGAAAATCTTAATGGATGTCAAATGACACAAGCTTCCTGGGGCATTCTAGTTGATCATCTGAGGACTACAAGGGCCATGCTCTTCAAGTGTCGTACTCAGTTTAGGAAATAGGATGAGGCTTCTACATCTCTGTACTATATATATATCTCCACTAGTTTGAAAGAGCTGGTGGATATGCCTAGCTGCCCACCAAGACGTTACCTGACTAGCAGCCTCTTCCATGTTTTCAGCTGATAGAACCCAAAGGAAAAAAAAAATCTCCCTGGAGATTAAAATAGTCAGCATTATGTAAGTTTACTAGAACTCCAGATAGAAGATGGCCAAGACTGGTTACAAGAGAAGGCTGAAAAAAAAGAGAAGGCTGAGAGATCACTCCTCCTCCCCCTGCCTTCCCCATGCCCATAAACAAGCCATCTCCCAGGAAGTCAGTATCCCAAAGACAGAGTATGTCAGGGCTCTACAGTCTGTCTGATTATTTGTGATTTTTGTTTGTTGGTTGGTTGGTTTTTTGGTTTGGGGTATTTATGGGACTCCCAGAAAGGGCCATGAGAAGGCACCCCCCAGCTGGGGCAAACAGAGCAGATGGATTCCAGTTTCCTGTGTGTTCTTACCTTTGTTCTTTCTGTGGCCCTGTGGACAGCGCAAGCAGGCCTCTCTGTGTCCAGGACCCTGTGGCTCCCACTTGTGTGTTCCTGGGCTGGCACACCTTGGAGCCTCTGGGCTCTGAAAACTAGACAATGATCATTAAACCTGGCTTGAGTCTCTGTTCTGGCATAGTCTGTGACTGGTTTCTTTATCTTTTCAATCTGTGCATGGGGCTCATTGTATCTCAAAAGGGTGTGGCCTGTTATAGAAGCAACTATTTAAATCCTGTCATAAGTGTCTCATTAGAATCTAGGTATTAAGATAGACCAAGGGTTGCATACTTTCTGCAGTGAGCCAGAAAATAAATAATTGAGCTAGATTCTAAAGATTTCAGACATGGTAGGCAATACAGCCTCTGTTACAACTGTTCAGTTGTGCTTTTATAGCAGGAAAGCAAGGAACGCTGGTGGTGAAATAGTTAAACACTCAGTTGCCAACCAACCCAGCAGCTTTGTGAAGGCCTGGCAATCTGTTCCCATGAAGATTACCAGGTAAACCAAACCCACTGCCATCCGGTTGACTCTAACTCATAGTGACCCTCCATTGGGTTTCTGATACAAAATATTTACAGACTGCCCATCTTCCTGTGGACTTGAACTCCCAACCTGTAGGTTAGCAGCCCAATACGAAACATCCTGTTCCACCAGGGCTCCTTCCCATAGATCACAGCCTAGGAAACCATATGCGACAATTCTGCGGCGTCATGGGACCTCATTCTGAGTTGGAACTGACTCAGGGGCACCTAATAACAAGGAAAGCAATTATAAATGATACAACAGTGAATGATGTGGCAGTGTCCCAAATAACTATGTTGTTGTTATGTTCCTTCAAGTCGGAACAGACCCATAGCTGATCCTCCAGAGGGTTTTCAGAGGCAGTAAATGACACGGGAGGAGTAATTTTTCTCCTGTGGAGCAGCTGGTGGATTTAAACCACTTGCCTTTGGGTTGGCAAATACAACTCATTACCCTTAAGTCACCAGAGCTCCCTATTTATGGATGGTGAAATTTGAATTTCATATACTTGTAATATACCTTGTGACTTTTTTCAACCATTTAAAAATGTGAAAGCTATTCTTAGTTCAAAACCATCCAAATACTAGCAGTAGATGGTTGGTCCTTGGGCCATACTTTCCTGATCCATGAGATAGATTCTAAAACAAACAAACAAAAATAAATGTCACTGAGGCTTTGACAGTAAAGAATTTAGAAAGTCTATGGTCAGGCTAAAAGTTACAGATATTGAAGCCTTCTTCACTCTCTAGAGTAAAGTCTCCCTGGAGTTCTCTTAAAAAAGTCTAGTTGAAGCTTACGAACTGTACCATGGTTAAGGGGGGGGGGGGTGATGCTTGAGTTGGATTGGATAAAAAGTGGATAGGAACAGAGCAGCTCACTTCAGTAATTACCTCTGGGATTTTTAAGTTGAATATGATCATCTCTTAAGCCAAATGAACTCATCTAATACACAGATTACTATTCATTGAAAGTGTGTCCTTAGGCATTGCATGGGACAGAGGTATGTGATCCTCACTTTATTGGTACAGACTACAAGCAATCATTGGCTACATTCAGAGGGAATTGTCTGGTGGAATCCACATTGTTGTTGTGTGTGGTGGAGTTGGAAATGACTCATAGCTGACCCTCCAGCAGGCCTTCAGAGGCAGTTCATCACGCAGGAGGAGACTGCCTACTTTTGTCCCATGCAGCAGCTGGTGGATTTGAATTGTGTTCCTTTGTGTTGGCAGTGCAATGCCTTACCACTAAACCACCAGAGCTGCCACAGGGGAGAGGAAATAGTGTACAGATAAAAGAATCAGAACTTGATGACTTTTTTACCTGCATGAAATCTTGACCAAAGGGCAGCCCTGCTCTGTCTGGAAAGTTTGCATTTCAGAGGAAGAAGCAGATGAGACAACTCAGCCTTGGCAGTCAGTGACATGACAGCAGTTGACAGACACCCCCCCCCCCCGAAAGCGTGTTTCTGTCTTCTTTCAGCAGTGTTTGCTGTGGCTGCCAGTTTGGTCCAGGGCATGAAGATGGTAAAGAGAACAAGTCTGGGAACAATACTTGTAGTTTTCCTCACTATGTTGTTTCTTACTAAGCCTGATTCCCACGTAGCTCACAGCCCTCTCTAAGGATTCACAGGATGGGAAGAGGCCTCAGTTTAGGCCCGCTCTACCAACCTACCCTTGAGGGGGCAGTGGGAGGTGAGGGAAAAGCAACATAAAGATCTACTGAATACAGAGTTTTGATGTGTGTGTGTCTGAGAACGTCACAACTCCTCTGTACCCCATGCCTAAGAAGTCAATGGCTACCTTTCTGCAATTCCCCCTCCCATCCCCACCACAAAGGGTCCCCTAGATTCTGGCCATGATGTGTAATTTTGTCTGCCAGACTTTCAGCACGTTCCTAGCCCCTCTTAGATAGAGCTTCTCTGTGAGGAGATATAAAGGACTAATAGGAAGGTCATCTTTTACAACAGGTGAAAATGTGA